GGTGTTTCATCAACACATAAGCAGTGAAACAACCACATTGAGAGTGCTCTGCAAGATGCAAGAATTAGCATTATCAGAGACAGTGAGTTATGACTATATCAAGAACATCACTCACATCTTTGCATAGTTCCATACCAGAAATTTGAGACATTGAAGGTGCAGGAAGAAATGGTGACATCAATGTCACATATGTGAAGGCTCTTCAAATTGTATGCCATGCATAACATTCAAAGTGTGCTCAACTTATGCCTCCTGCCTGAGGAGAGGGCTATTGCAGTCCAAGCTCACCTTTCTGGACTGCAGTTCCTGCACAAAATTAAAATCATAAGTCTCTCGTTATACAGACCATTCAAGCGCTTATTGTTATACTGACAGGTTGATGGAGTTGAAGTCACATGTTTTTTCGAGGCCCACTACTTCATCAACATGATTGTCAATGTCATATGGCAAGAAGGTCTGTATCTCAACATCAATATAGAAAAACTTGACTGTGTGTTTGGCCTCATGGGTGCTGCAGCACACAACACCCTCAAGGCATATTGCAAGGGTACATATGAGAACATTGATGCTTACAACTTGATCATAAAATTGATCACAAAAATACAGCTTGATGATACATTGAGGGAGTGTGTTAAGAACCATGTTGCTCAAGGGAGAGAGAGAGACTGACTCAGAGGGGCTTGGCCTCAGCTTGTATGCTGTGCCCCTTACCTGAGTATGTGCCCTTCATTTCGTATGAGGTCCAGTGATGGTCTGACGAAGTCCGGAGGACTTCTGGAGGCTGGCTACTCTGCTGGAGAGTGCTAGAGGACTTCCAGAGGAGTGCGGGAGAGTTCTGGAGGAATGCAGGAAGTGCTCAGGAGAGTTCCCACTGCACAGTAATACTTCTATAGGAAACAGGATGGAAGGATAGGAGGTCCAAAGGTCTGGAGGACAGGAGGACAGGAGGACAGGATGATGGAGGACAGAAGGACAGGATGTCCGAAGGTACAGAGGGCAGGATGTCTGAAGGACAGGAGGATAGGATGTCCGAGGGTTAGGTGGATGGAATGTCCAAAGGTACGGAGGGCGGAACATCCAAAGGACAGGATGCCTGGAGGTATGAGGGACAGGAGGTCCGGAGGTCTGGAAGGAATAGGGGCTACATTGGACAAAGTCTGATGTAGAAACAAACAGAGGTAGACTACCCTAAGGTAGAGTTGGAGAGACAAGGGTTGGACCTAAGTCCAGAAAGAGGGTAAGTGCCGGAAAGGCAGAGCTCTGGCCTAGGGAATCAATCCCTAGGCCTGATGAGTAGGACAGACTTAGGTGGATCAAAGTCCAAGAGAGGATTGGGCAAGTCTAAGTTGATATTCAAACTAAGGAAACTACAGGAGTATCTACAGGGGTTATATACTGGAGAATATCTGAGGGGATCAATAAGCAAAGGAGCAGGGCTATGTACGAGCATGTGGAAACACATTAGTAAGTAAGTCAGAACATAAGTAAATGAACTCGGAGATGAAGACTCGTACAAGGATCAATAAGCAAGACAGAACAAGAGGTAACCGAAAGCCGGAAAGGTAGAGATGCCTAAATGGGGATAGGCGCAGGATCTCAGACAGAGGGTGGGAATAGGTCCAGCGTTAATATCCAGAGGTCCGGAGATCTGGGGATCTGGAAGACAAGGTGGATACAGGACCAGAATACAAGAAGGTGGATATAGTCCAGAATCTGAGATGAGGTGAAGTTCAGATGTCTTGCTGGATGGAGTGTGCATAGGGTGGATGGGACAGGGGGGTATGGATCAGGCTAGCAGTGGAGATCCGATGGTCCAGAGCTCAGGGGTAAATCCGGAGTGTAGTCGATCCTGCTGAGGTGTGGAGCACACAGTGGAAGGGGATCTGGGAATGAGCTGGATATGAAGTGGGGTCCGGATGTAGGCTCGGAAGGCGTGGGAATATGATGGAATGTGGGTCCAGATTGTGGGATATGACAGAGTGATACAAACATTTGTGCAATCTCATCATTGCTCACAGAGAGGCAGACTTGGGAATGTAGATTACGCACATCTATCTCTACTAGATAAGCTACAATCTCATCTTAGTACAATGAGATTATCTAGTATCTGTCTTTAGGTAGTTTTACAATCTATTATCTATTATTTCTCGCATTTTTTCATAGTCACAAACTGTGATTGTAAGGAGCTGAGTCAACTAAGGCGCAATAATGACTAAAAAGGTGCACAAGCCAACACTGGCCATATATAGCTCCCAGAAGGCACCTCAAAGGCTCATTTCAGGATTTTGGATTTTCAGATGTAAGATCACTCATTCTCCATCACTGCTGGCATGTAATTCTCTTGCCATAGCAATATACTCCATTTGGGTGTTGTTCACTCATCCCAGACCTGGAAATAAATCTGCTCCGCAACTTTACAAATACCCATTGCTTTTTATTAAAGCACTGAACATTGTAAGGTCATTCAATGCACATTTCAGAACATGTTGACTGGTTTTTTTTGGTATAGATATGGACTCTAGGTGTGGTGATGGGGCTGGTGATGTGGGCAGAGAAGTGATTCCCATACAACACAGATGTATGAAATGAGCATGTAACCTCTTGGATTGATGTAACGTCCATTGTCAAGACTTCAAGCATTACGCCTCATGTACTGTATCATCTATCATTAATTAATTCTTCTGACTCACACTCAGGCTGCTTCAAATCCAGCACACTTTGCAACTGTCATAGAGCCATCAATTAACAACCAATATACAGGGCCTTGATATAGGTGGTGTTTGGTACTGCAAAGGTTGACAAGTCATGCCATGGCCATGTCAACATCAACATTGATAAGTGTGATGTACTGTCAATGTGAAGTGATGTCCAGGGAGGTAGTTTCAAAAATTAGTTCTAGATATTCTGCTGATGGCTATTTCATCAGTATCAGACCAAAGAAAATAAAAAGGTCATGCATAAAGACTGTTTCATGCTGTAAGAAATCTCATTCCTCTGTACCTGCCTACTTCATAGATTAATCCTGCCCAGCCCAGGTTATGTGTGTAGCGCCATCTTGCTCTCCTTCAGTATGGGCTTCCCTTGCTCTTGCAAGATACACTAATCCTCCAATCACATTTGTAGATCAATAATTTCCTGGTAGTGATGATGTGGATCCTCTGGTCTTTGTGCATGGCAGATTGGTTGGTTATTTGGGAACTTAAGCTTAAGGTCTGATGTAGTAACCATAAATAGATAATGTGATCACATGACTTGCATGTGCAGCACAAAGTTTGAACTTCTTTTATTTTTATTTTAGACAAGTGATGTATATTTGTAGCAACTGACAAAATCTAGTCCTATGAATATGTGCTATAGTGGGATACTTAGGATCCCGGTCCGAGGAGAAAATGCATTTATGAACTCCTGTTTTATGGGGTGTGTGGGGCTCTTTACTACCTGGTTGCCTCATTCAAAGAGGGCCTGGGTGGCTTAATACCCACTAAAACCTCAAGGGCAATCACCCAGTTTTTTGGTAGGGAGTCATGTGATGTGATTATGTCATGCTATGTGGATGTTATCAGTTTTAGGAATGATGGTGTGTGATAGTGTTGCCATCAAAGTGAAGTGACTTTGAAGTAACTTCACTTCACTTTGAAAACGTGTGACTTCGGTTAACTTTGTTGTACTGAAGTTGGTTGAAGTGACACTTCATTCACTTCAAGAGATGAATTGAAGTCATTGCATAGATTAATCATAATCACTACAAGTCTAAAGTCCTATATGTGCCTCCTGTCTCTCTCATATTTCACTGGTAAAACATCACTGTACACCTAAGTACATTCAATATGAGCCTCTTGTACATGATCTTGAACATTCACTAAGTTACTTCCACTGTAAATTTGACTTTTTGCACTAGTTTGCCACAGCACACATGCGTTATAATAACCTCACTGTCTGTGTCTCACAACAAATATCTACTCTCCATGTACCATCCAACAGGTTGTCTCCCCAGTAGTCAATCACAATTTCCTTCATACCCACATCAGGCTCCAACATTGGGCATCCCAAGGGCCAAGAACTCTGGCAGTCACAGTCAAGAAGTTTTGCCATTGATAACACCAAATGGCTCTTTTGAAACTTCTCTCCATCTCTGCATGCTCCAGGCCCAGGTCCAGTACTGCACAATCCTACACCTGGTACCTATGCCCAGTATATGATGCCCATGCAGTATGTCGAAATGCTACAGCATATGCAGGGCCCAGGCCCTCTGCAGCTTGCTTTGACTTGGCCTATCTTGATGCAGCATGATGGTGTTCTACAAGACTCAACTGCTCCTGTCATTAATGCGAGAATGACAGCAAAAAAAGGTGGCAGCTGCAAACATAAAAAACCTGTTGAGGAAGTAGATGGTCAGAACAACACTCAGAGGCAGAGCAACAAGAAGAAAAAGACCAATCCAAGTGCAGTGCAGCCTCAACCTGAACCTGAAGCCACAGCTGTTTGTGGTGTTGGTCCAGTGACTCCAGTCTCTGATCCTGCACCAGAGAGTGCACCTGCTGATGGACAACACCTCCCTCTGCCTGGAAATGTTAATCAAGGTGAATCTCACCACCCATGGGAGTTGAGGGCAGTTGCAACTGATGTTTGGTACTTTTTGTGGGCCTTGAATAGTAAGGAGAGGCCAGACAGGATGCCAGAAGATCAGCCATGATTGTCAGCAAAACCAGACTGCAAATATGTGGCATGTCATCTCTGTGGGTGAGTCCTATGTAAATTCCATCAGTTGTTAAAATTTTGAACATTGTGAGGTAGTGATGATGAGAAAAACCCACAATGGAAAGGTATGGCAGCTTAGAGATGGGATGACATTGTGTTACTGTGAGCACTTCAATAGCCAGCATTACCAGCTGTGGAAGCAAATTTGCAAGAACATGGGACTTAAAACCAGGCATTGAGCACATCATTCTATAGGCAGAGAACAACATTTGTTCTCAATAGAGATGTTTCATCACTTGCTGATGCGATGGGTAGCTGTTGATGATCAGAGTTTCAATGTCTTGGAATGCCCAGAGTTTTGGGCACTTCTTCTGTACCTTGGTGATGGGAAAATGGATGACACTGATCTTCCTCACCAGACAAAAATAATGCAGATGGTCTTGGATGAATACTGCAAGGAATATAACAAGACCAAAGGTGATCTAAAGGTATGTGCATATGATTTTGATTCAGATTGTCATTAATTCTTTTTACCACTTATATAGAACGCTCTTGGACACATCTCAATGACTACAGACCTGTGGAGTGACCCAAATTGTGATAGTTACATGGCAGTTACTGCCCACTTTATGATGTGGGGTGAGAAGAATAGACTGGAGTACATGACTTGACTCATTGCTTTTTGTTATATCAGGGGTCCCCATAGTGGCACTAATCTTGGTCAAGAGTTTTTGAAAATCACAGATGAGCTTGAGGTCACAATCAAGGTAAATTTTACTGCTCAAAGTGTCTCATCTTGAATGAAGTCAAACTTGATTCTAGTTTGGTCAGATTATGATGGACAATGCATCCAATAACGATACATTTATGTTGGAGCTTGAGATAGAGCTGGAAACAAGAGGTATTCCCTTTGATCATGCTGGTAATCATATAAGGTAATATCTGACACTGATTTTTGATGACTGGGAGCTAAAATTTCATGATCCTCTCATAGATGTTTTCCCCATGTTGTGAATCTTGCAGTGCAGGCCATTCTCAAAGAACTGAAGGAAAATCCTGTTGTACCTGTGTTGGAAGCACCCACCCATCTTTCCGCCTCAACAGATCTTCATGTATATACCAACACCTTGTCAAATGAACCTGTCAGACAATGTTGTGGTATTGTCAATGCTTGCAGACACTCAGGGCAGTGTCATTGAAGAAGGGAACAACAATGGATATTGGAAGGGTAAGCTTCCTGATGATAAGGAGACACTGCCTGTGCTCTGGCTTTTGCGAGATTGTTTGACTTGTTGGTCATCAACATTCAAAATTATTGATCATGTTCTCACATTGCATCCAGTAATTTTTTCTTCACCTTTAGCTCTCTTTGTTTGATGCTTACTTCCTTCAATAGGCTATCCAATCATTCCTGCAGGAAATCCAGAACATGGACATTGCCCACCTTTCAATGGACTTGAAAGATGTTGATGTCCTTCGCAACATTCATCAAATCATCGAAGTTCCACATGCAGCTCCAGAACTACTCACAAGCAAGCATACTCCAACCCTATCTATGGCCACTCCTGCATATGAACTCCTACAGACCAAATGGACTGAGCTGAAGGGCACCATTTGGGAACTTGCCCACTATATTGAAATTGGCCTTGACAAGCTTTCTAACTACATTCATCAAGGCAGGAAAACACAGATCTACACTCTTGCAATGAGTTGGTTTGAGATTCCTTTTGCGCATTAAAATTTTACTGAACTTTGGATAGTTATCAATCTGAGCTTAAAACTTGAATGGATGAAGGCTCACTGGGATGTGAATGATGTGAGAAAAGCATGGGAATGGACATTGGAAGCAGTATGTTCAATTTTTGCTATCTTCTCTTCAGTAGTGCTAGTGCTTAGTCTACAGATGACATCATACTGCACAGCAATGCACTTAGAATGGGAAACAGTGCCTACATCATGCATGTCCACATTACAGCTTCCATGCTCAACCAATCCTACATCTGTGGCTGCACAATCATTGATGTCTGGATTTGGGTGCTTGACAAAGATCAACACCAGTGTTCGATGTTCAACAACTTCATTATCTTCTGCCACCCATTCAGACTTGGCTACACCACTTCCTCTAAGTCCTTCCTTGTCATTTGGACAGTCAACTCCAACATTAACACTGGAAGAGCAAACATGACAAGATTTAGAGGAAGACAGGAAAGATGCTGAGCGAGAAATGCAGCACTATGAAGAAGCAGCTGCTCTTGATGCCATGGCTGAACACACAGCTGATATTGTTTGTTTTTGGGAGGTATGTGTACTGTTTAGTCATTTTTTTGTTCATTCATTAAATTAGCTATTTGCAGCAAAAAGAACTTATATTCCCACTGCTTTTCCACATTGCCATGGATGTCCTTCCTGTGCAGGCTTCATCTGTTCCTTCTGAATGAGTTTTCTCATCCAGCAAAGAGACATGCACAGATCAGTGTGCTAACCTCTCACCACCAGTGCTCAAAGCATTACAGATTCTCAAGTTCTCTTACAAGCAAGACTGGCTGGATTTCACATCACACTTGGTTGCAGAAGAAACAGATTATAATATTTCAGGGCCTGTGTCTAGGAATGCCATAGACAAGCTTGTGGCAGCAGGCAAGCTCAATGAACTTACTCAGCTATTTGAAAATGAAAATGAGGAAGCTTAGTAGTCTTAGATTATACTGTAACTAGTAGCTACACTGTTTGATTGACTCAGATCTATTGCTGCTGTGGGTTTTTCCACCTATTGCTGACTTCATGAAGTGGAATGAAGCGCACTTTGACCAACTTCATTCACATCAAAGTCTAATGAAGTGTGTCCAATTTCCACTTTGATTCACTTCAGTTCGCTTTGCAGCAACACTAGTGTGCAATTTATTTTCCTCGCTGTAAGTTTGTCTAGTTGCAAATGTTTATTTATTATTGATGACCATCTCTTTTTGATTATTTGTTTGGTAAGTGTTGTGCCATTTATTGTTCTGTCACATCTTGTGGTCCAGATGAGATATGCTGATTCTGCTATTAAGATTTTTAAGAGTCTGGAGGCACCTTTGTGTGGTTTTTGGTTTCTGTGGTTTTCAGGTTCATTGTTTTGCCTGTGTGGGTTTATATTTACACTCCCACAGCCCAGGATTGTGCCTATACTTATTCTAGGCCAAGCTCCAAATTTCTCTGGCCATGTGTCTTTGGCAAGAGACCAGATTATTCAGCTATTGTTGCTCAGACATTCAGTCAATATGTGCTCCATGGTTTTGTCATCTGCATTGCAATGGGCACATCTCGCACAATGTTCATATGTTGGTATATTTGTCCAGTAGTCTCCAATTTTATGTGCACCATGTAATGCTTTAAATAGGAACTGTCTTATTTTTCTGGGTATGTCTCTATGTCTACTGTTTGTCGATATGGTGGAATCCATTTCTAATTGTCCAGTTAGTTCTTGAAGTGGGTATCTGGTCATGTCTAGATTGTTGGTAGTCTTTCTTCATGGGGTCATGTTTATCTTTTGTCTGATGCTTTTATAGGCAAGGGCTTGTGTTATGGCTGATAATTTTGCTCCTTGTAGGTTAAATTCATCAGGGATGCTTAGATTGAGTTTGTCTGGGGTTGGTTTATTTGCCCCTTCTTTTGCTAAGGTATCAGCTCGCTTGTTCCCTTGGTGGCCATTGTGCCCTTTCACCCATTGAAAGGATGTTTGTGCTGATCATTTTCGCAGTTGGTATGCTGTTGCTCTGATGATCTCACTATTCACTACATCAGTCCATCTCATGTCCTCCCAGTATGGGAGGTATTTGGTTAGGCCTTCTATTGTGTATCTAGAGTTTGTAATGAAAGTTATAGGTATGTAGGGTTCTACTCATTGTAGGGCTACTAGTATCACTGATAATTCTGCTATTTGATTTGAATGTTTTCATCCAGGGATTCTAAATGTGAGGTTTTTGGGGTGGTTTTCTTTGAACCATATACCACATCCACTCTGTGCATTATCTTTTCTGTTATTTGTACATGATATGTCTGTGAAAATTGTTAGGTTATTTTGTAGGAGGTTGAGTCCCCTTGTTGGTGCCTGTAGGTGGTGTGCTGGGGTTAGTGATGTGTATGCTGGGTCTGTGAAGATCCTGAAACAGTCTGCTAGACCAGAGTGGGTTGTTACTGTTGGGTTGAATAGGATTTCTCCATTTCGGTTCTTGTGTGCCTGTTGGTTTTTTTCCTTTCTTTGGTGAGTTAGTGATAGGTTGTCTTTTTTTGGCTTTGTTTTTGTGTTGAATTTGGGTGCTATTTTGTATAGAATTTCATTTGTGTATTGTGCACATGCATGTGGATTAGAACATCCTTTGTTTCTGTCTCTTTGGCATGTATTTCTCAGGAAGTGTTGATCAAGTTCACTTATTTGTGTCAGTCGTTTCCTTAGTTTTATTAGCTGTTTAATGTTTCCTGAATTATGTGTGGTCATTAGGCATTTGTTTTTTGATTTGTTGTATGTGTTTTTGGGGGCTCCTAGGTGGCACCACAATGGGAGGTTCTTTTTTAATTCTTTTGATATTTTAATTGGCACAAAACTTATGTTGAATTGTTTTGCAGTTTTCAGTATCATTTGTGCTTCACAGGGTAATGAGGTGAATCTGGGGCCTTTCATTGGGGGGATCCAAGATGTAAGGAATGGATTTGTTTTATTGTATTCAGTGTTTTCTGATCTGATTGTGTTCAGTAATAAGTCCATAATGGAGGCCCATGCTGGCCTCAATTTGGATAGGTCTAGGTACATTTTTACCCAAGTTACTTCAATTGCTTCATTCCTTGATTTGATGTCTAGTAATCTGATACCTCCTTCTTCTCTTGGATGATGGAGCTGTTCTAGGTTGATGGGGGGAGTGTGTGTGTCATCCCAGATAAAGTTGTGTATAATTTTTGTTAATGCTGTTTCTATGTTCTTCGGCATTCCTTGGGCCTTAGTCAGGAACTGGGTCATGCTGCCTGCAATTATTTGCACTATGAGTTTCTTACCATCTAGTGTTGGGTGACCGCTCCCCCATTTCTTTAGTGCTAATCTGATTTTGTTCAGAATAGGTTCCCATGGAGTTGAAGCTTCGGTCTTGTTACTGATCCAGGCGCCCAGGGATCTAACAGGGTGGCCGTCTGGGGCTATCTTAATGTTATTGTGTAATGGTGGTTCATGGTGGTTGGTTTGTTGTGTTTGAAGTATGTGATTGTGGTGCATTTTTGATCTGATGGGGATTATTTCAGTTTTTTTTCAAGATTGAACTCGGCACCTGATGCCCAGCACCATTTTGACAGGATTTCTTCCAGGTCATGGTATTTGTCTGATTCATTCAAGAATATTGTTGTATTGTTGGCATATAGGTTCACTATGACTTTGTCGGTAAGTCCTGGTATGCTGTATCCTTTTAATTTCCCTGTATGTCTCAGGGTGCATGCTAAAGGCTCAATGGTGAGGTCAAAGAGGAGGCATGAGAGGGGATCTCCCTGTTGCACACCTCTTGTGACTTGGAAAGGGGCACTGAGCACTCTGTTTATGGCTACCTTGGTATGTGCATTTTTATATAGCACTTTAACTGTTCTTACAAAGGGTTGCGGGATCTGGAAGATTTCAAGGGTCATGATCAGGTAGTCATATCTTATTCTATCATACACCTTTTCTTGATCAAGTGCAACTAGGACACTGTTTTCCTCTGTAATATCTGCATATTTGATCATGAGCTTTGCTAGGTGGATAGGATCAAAGATGGAGTGTCAAGGTATGAATCCACTTTGGTCAGCATGTATCAGTGAATGGATTTCTCTTGCAAGTTGCATGGCTAATGCTTCTGTCAGGATTTTATAATCTGTGTTTAGCAATGTTATAGGTCAGTAGTTTTCTATTTTGGAATGTTCTTGTTTCTTATATATTGGGCACATCCAACCTAGGGCAAAGTCTGTCTTTTCATCAACTCCATGTTCTTGGATGTTATTTATTACTAAAGTGAGTGTTTTGATTATATTAAAGCTAGGTAGCTCTTGTTTTTGGTCACATATATGTTTTTCATGTAGATTTTTCCAGATTTTGTACAGGATTCCATCAATACCAGTGGCATTACCTGATTTTGAGGTGTATAGAGCTTCTTGTATGTGGTGCTCTCGCAGGGGGTTGTGTAACGGTGAGTCTTCATTTTAAAACTTTTGTGATTGCAGGATTTGGTTCATTGTGTGTTGTATTTCAATGATTCTTTCTTCTGCTTCTTGTTCTGACATAGTGTCTTTTTGTATGTTCTTGTGATGTTTTCTTGTGATTTCTGCCATCTTGTCAGAGCAGGAGGCGAAACTGTTTTGGTTAGGTATGTTTAGTTTGTATATTATGTCTCTGGGTTTTTTACTGCTGTTAATCTTTGACCAGTATTTACTAATCATCTTGCCTTTTGTTGCCCAGTCAACTTGTGAGTGTAGTTGTTTCTTTTTATATCTTTTATTTTCTAAGTGGTTGATCTCGCTTTCTATCCAGGCTTTTTGTCACCTTGTGATTTCATTTGTGTCTAAGTCATTGTTCTCTACTGTTTTCTGTAAGTTGTCTTCAAGTTGTCTTGTTCTTGTTCTTATTTTGTTTAGGTATTCTTTCACCATTACTTTCGTGAGTTGTTGGATTTGGGATTTGAATTCTTCCCATTCTCTTTGTGGGTTTTCCGAGTCTGTTCTCAGTTGTTGTTGTTGTTGTTGTTGTTGTTGTTGTTGTTGTTGTTGTTGTTGTTGTTGTTGTTGTTGTTGTTGTGTGATTCTATTTTGTATGGTTTTACCAGCTTTACTAATTTTTTCAATTAGTTTACCATCATTTATCAGGCTCATGGGCCAGGACCATTGGCCTTTGCCTATGAAAGGTGTTTCTGCTAGAGCAAATCTTACAAGGACCATCCTATGGTCTGTTGGGACTGCTGAGGTGCAAGAGTCCCATCCATATATATGTTGTTCATGATTTGGTGAGGTATAGATGCAGTCTAAACATGAGTGTGTGTTTGTGTTACTGTAAAAAGTGAAGAGTCTCACTGATGGATTGTTGATTCTCCAGGAGTCTTGTATATTAAGTTTAAACCTTATGTCTCTGAGGGCATCAAGGGCTTGGTCATCCTCAAGGCGGGCTGGGGCTCAGTCCAGTGTGTCTTCCATTATATTAAAGTCTCCCATGACAAAGTCTGGATTGGGGAGTCATTTTTCTTGCCAAGTTTCGGTGATCTTATTCCAAAATTCTGCATGCTGTGTGTGATTATTGGGGGCATATATGTTGGCAATAGTTAAGTACTTTTCATTATGCCATTTTGTTCTGATGACTAGTACTCTTCCAGGGATGATTTCAGTTACAGTTAGTTCATTTGGGTTGAATATTTCTTTATTGATAATGATTGTGACTCCAGCCAAGTTACCAGGTTGATGTGGGTCTCTTGAGTTCATGACTTTCAGTCTCTGTGTGTAGAGTGTCTCTATTTGTGTTTCGTGCTCAGGTAACAGGTGTGTCTCTTGCATGCATAAAATACCTATTTTCTTTTCTCTCATGACATGGTGTATTGTTGTCCATTTAGATATATCACTGTTCCCTAGTTGTGAGGATGCTCGCCCTCTCATGTTTAGTGTGGCAAGGAGGATATTAGCTCTTGTTTTCTTTTTCTTATTGGTGCAGAGTGTTTCCTCTCTCATTTCATGGTTTCTAATATTGTGGTTACATTGTACATGGTTGTGTGTCACCAGGTGGGGTGTATGATTGTTTCCACTTCTGAACTCTCATGTAGCATCCTCGAGGGGTGGCCCAGTGGTATGAGGCCTGCCCTCTCTGCTTCTTGGGAGGTGTGAGCCAGGGCCAGGAATGTTACTGGGTTGGGGTGTGTTTGCAAAAGTTGAAGGGGGGGGTGGTCAAGATACCAGCGTCTTCCAAAATGACCATCAGGAAGCAGGGGTTGTCATATCCTGGACAACCATGGTGGGTACATGCTTGTGCTTCTGGAGGCAAGTGTCCAGTCACCTATCTTGTTCAGCGGTGGCTTCAGCTTCTCAGTGCAGCTAACCCTTGACCTAAATAGGTCTCTGCTATTGGCAATTGCCATCGAGGCTACCATAGCTTTCCTGTCCTGCTGGGCAGTCAGTATATTTGGGCTATGGGTTAGAAAGGTCCAGAATGTGCCTCAGCAGACTGTTAGGATTGTGTTTGTAACCTATGGTCAGGAGGTA